GAACAGTAAAACCTGCCAGTGCACAGCCACTTCATAAAGCCAAGTTGTTAACATTTGGAGATCCCTCGCACTGCTCCGAAGTGAACAAACCCTTACTGTTTAAAGCTTGTTCAGCTGTTAGGCTAAACAGTCATGACGTGACTATACAAAAAACAAGAGCTGGTTTAAAATGATCTTCTCAATTTATCAGCAAATAGTCACATGTTTCCTGTTCATACTGAATAGTCAATTTCAAAATGCTTCAGATCTCAATTTGTAGGGCTATATGCTATAATTTTCTGACATATAAGAAAAGTGTTATGACTTTCATATCGACTTACTCAAAAGGCAAGCTGCAATATACCCACTACTAACTGAACTGTAAATTAGACATGGAGAAGAAGACTAGTTTAAAACAAACCAAAACATTATTAAAGATATCTAAAATAAATAAACAGCCCCCCCAAAAAAACCAATCATCCAAAAACCAAAATCAAACAAACAAAACACATGATTCTCTACAATGCAAAAGCTTTCTGAAGTATTTTGAAATAAATGAAGTTCCAGCACTTGCTCAGCCTGTGTTAGAGGCAAATAAAACACATAAGCTCATACAAGAATAAAACCTGGCCACTGAACAGTGCGAGATCAGCAGATCTCTCAAGGTCACGGTCAAACGCAGACTTCACTCAGCGCTTTGTGGTGGTGGCAGGAAACAAAAACAAGCAAGCACAAGCAAGCAAAACCAACCAACCAACGAGCCTGCACAAGCACAGGCAGCCTGCCCACAAATACATTTTCTCCTTAAGGGACTTTGTTAGGATAAAGAAGATTATTGAGAGGAAATCTCAGAAAGCTTCAAACAAAGGAGAACTGGCTTTATCTGTAAGAAAGCTACAACTACAGCTGTAAATTTTTATTTTTACTCTCTAGTGATAGGAATCAAAGCTCAGGTTGTCTAGTATTATGTGAGACTTTTTTTTTTTTTAAAAAATATGATCTGTAAGTAACAGAGAAAGGCTTTCTGAAAGAGAACATGTATCAGATTATTGCACGAGTAACAACTACCCATATCGGGCAGCCCCGGCAGGGCTTGCAACTCCTTCCTGAGTCCCAGCTGCAAACACGAGCCTGGGTTTTATCCCACGGAGCTGCTCCAAGTCCAAGAGGCCACATGTGCGGGCACTACTACGACTGCACGAGCGCTGCCACTTGGAAACGCCCCGAAGTCTCCAACTACCAGGAGCTCCACCTCCTACAAAGTGTTCAGCATCAGATGAACATGAGTAATAGCATGAGTAAATGTTCATGTTTTCAGAAAAAAAACAACACTGTGTTCACAGGATGCAGCACTGAGTTCTGCTAAAAGCAATTATGTTCACTGCTTCCGAGCACCAGCTGAACAGCAGGCGCTGCTTAAGTTTTCTTTCACGTTTGCACTCTCTCACACAGTGCAGGGAAGAACAGCTTCCAGGAGCCACTTTCACTGCTTATTGCTACTTAATGTGAGTTATAAAATAGCTTTGGGATTTAACATACTAAGCATCTCGAGAATAATATGCTTTCCTGTTTCTTACTTGGTACTAATACAGCTTTTCTCTTCATAGAGCTTTAAAATTTTAGTCATTAATTCCACAGAGGTAGTTAGATATAAAATACATTTTACATACAAGGAACATAATATAACACAGTTCAAATGAATTCCAGGATGCAACAACTAACAACAAATAGATTACTGCATAGATTTCTACAGCTTGAAATCTTAATCCTATACTTGGGCCAGATGTTAAACTAGTAAAAGCAGAATTACATGAAGTTTTTCCTGATATCCAGCAGATCCCCATTCGGCTCCACCTTACACTTTGAAGGACAGCAGAATGGTTCTCCAAATATTTCCAGATGTCAAATGCCAATGAATTCCAAGACAGTATTTTCCCCAATTCATTTCTAGGCCACTAAACGCTTGAATTATGCTCGTTTATCTCCCAGGCTTCAGGAGCTTGACTTAACAATAGTAAAACAAACCCATTCTCCAGCTGTTAAGAATAGTCTACAATTTTATACTGGTACATCTTGCCTTACAAATAATGGTGTGTGTAGTGATGTATACATAAAAATAAAATATTGAATTCAACAATACATCTGATGCACAGGAATCCTACAAGGGGCTTCTCTCTCTACTGTACTGCAACACCTGCCTGTATGTCAGTAATGTTGTACTCATTTTTATCCTTTTTAAAGGCTTCAGAACATCCCAACATAGCATTGAAAAAGAGATTTTCCACATCTGACAACAGAGACTCCAGCAAGGCTCAGCACGTGATGCCTCAATCAGGCAAAGCCCCCAGTCTCCTGCGCGTCCACCGTTTTGCACCTCTCCATCAGGAATCTTTGGTTCTCAATGATTCTGAGGGCGATTAGCCCATTTTTCAGACAAATATCTTCCCAGGGACAAATGCAAGAGCTCTGCACGCATCCATGGCGGTAGGTACTAGCTTTGAGCCCTGTTTATCCTTCTGCATGGGCAGATGCCAAAGCCTCGGCCAGGACATGCTGCCCAGTGGATTAGTGCTCCCTGTTTGCTCCCTCCAGGAGAGGGAGGCTCACCGTCTCACGGGCTACACCACTGAGTAGCCAGGTAAGCCACAGGTGCCAAACACACTTACACAGCAGCTTAGGAACCACCGGCAAAATTAAGCTTTCTACAATAAATAGCCCTCTAATTCACAAGAATTAGAAAGGCATTAAAAAGCCCATCATATGACAGCAGTGGTTGATAAATTTCACTTTCTCTCAACAGTTTCATCCTTCAGTAACTTCATTGCTAAATTGCAGGTATTATCCTCATCATAATGTGCTCAATTTGCCTTTCCAAGTATGCTGTCACAACAACCACTTTCCCTGACAACTGGCAGAAAAAGGAAGCAAAAAGGGTTTTGAGTCAATTACGTATCTTCCAATATCCCAAGCAACTACATCATCTAATCCCACTTATTACACTATCAAATTTATTTTTGAAACTGATGAGAAGCAATAGTGGAAAAAAATATGAGGAAGATGTTGTCTGGCTGTCAAAACCTCTTCTGGCATCAAACATAAGTTTATTCAAAGGTTACCAAGATCTTTCTTAATGTTCATTCACTCCTACTTCAAAGTGTTTATATGAAGTGACCACACCAACATTTGGCAAAACCAAGAGATTTGTTTTAATCTTCCTTTTTTAAAGTAGACACTCCTAGCTCTTGGTCACAGGCTTCCTCATACTCAATTCAACTGTCAGGTAATTTGTGCACCGTAAGTTCATAAGTTCAGTCATAAAGTATTATGAAAAACTTGTATAACTGCATCAGTGCTTTTAATTCTACCGCAAGCACCTCACTTACTGCAGGTATGAAAGACAAATTAATTCAATCTCACTGATTGCCCCCAGTCACGCTGTAATTACTAATACATTCAGGTTTATATCTCACTATTTTGAACAAAATGAACACATTCTAGTTAGCAGTTCCTGAATGGATGCTTCCAAATGTTCAAGTTTCTTATGCTTCACTTTTCCAAGATCAGTTCAAGTTTATCAATACTTTGCCTCTTTTCCCCAAAGATGTCAACATGTTTTAGAAGCACCCACCATTTAAAATCTATAACACTACATAACTATCACTTATATGATCACATAATATTTTAATTAGTATAGTTATTGTACATGCATATAACAAAACCATGGAATTGACTGGCGAGTTGATTCTGGATAAATCACATTAGGACGGAGCCTCCAGATATCCTTTTAGCAGAACTCACCATTGCCTCCAACCAACCTACTTACTAGCTTGACTCCTGTATTAATCCCATCTGCTCTCTTTAGCAAACTGGATCTCAGTGCTACTTAATAACTCAAGTGATCAACTCAACATCATGCTCACTTACATTCTTTTGGGTAACATTCTTCTAGTTAAGCTCTAGTGTGATCATCTGATCGACACTTGTTTTCTATTACCAGTTTTATACAAAATAATGATTACTTAAGAATAATAAAAAGCAGTATTTTTGGGCTTGGTTGCTAAATACTTCTAAATATAGCAGAAATTTCAGGATACATATGCTCACATACATATGGGTTTTATTAGTAGCAGTAGCATTTGGTCGCACACCAATCTCAAGAAATTAAATGTTTCCTGTGGCTCATCAACACATCTCAAACTAACGGTATTAAAGAGGATCTCAGCAGACAGCCTTAGCCTCGGAGTGCACAACAGACCTCCTGTTATAACGGCAATTTTCCGTACACACAGTGCAAGACAGCAGAGAAATTAAGGGACCAAACACAGCGCGTGTCTCAGCCCAGCCTGTCCCCTCCGCTCAACTGCTGCTGGACTGGCTGATCCGAGCCCGGACGAATCACCCTGCCGGGTGGAGCACCAGGATTTTAAGGCACATTTCCTTATGAAATGAGAACGTCCTTAGGACACGGTATCACCCCAGCACGGACCAGCAGCCGCTCCTTTCAGCGCACGGCCTGCAACACGCCCATTCCAGCCTGTTCCAACGCCTCAGCACCTTCCCGTTTTCCCACCTCGTGCCGACAACCCGAAAGCCACGGTTCCTTCAGCCACATTTCCCGGAATCACGGGGCAATCCTCCCAGCTGCTGCTGCGGGAACTCGGCCGCTTTATCCGCCGAATTAGGA